AAAAAAAAAAAAAAATGACTCTATTTTAAATTTGAAAGAAAACATTAAAGAAGAAAGAACGAAAAAAAAAAATTAGTTTAAGTGACGACGGCGGCGTTAAAAAGGAACAAAAGAAGAGAAAAGAAAACTCACAGAGAAAAGAGAGAGAAAAGAGAGAGAGGGGGAAAGAGATTCGATTTATTAAGAAAGTGAAATAAGAAAATAGAAGTGAAAGAAAAAATAAAAAGAAAAGAAAAGAAAAAAAGGAATACTCCATATGTAAGTATGTGGCTCTACATCTATGCCTAGTGACTCTTTTTATTTCTATTTCTCTGGATGTAAATGAGAGCCATTTTTCCTCTTTTTTTCTTTTTCTTTTTTTCTTTTTTTCTTTCCTTGTTCTTTCTCTCTCTCTTTATATGTGTGTATATGTATATGTGGGGGAATGCGATGCGTGGAGCAGGATTCTTAACACAAACACAAACACACATTGACGAAGACACAAACAAACAAACAAACAAACATTTATTATAAAATTATAAGTGAATTTGTACGTATATACATACATATAACTGTTGAATACGGATATATGTATATTTTCTTTCTCTCTATTTCTATTTCTGTTATTTTGTTTTTATTTTTTCTTCTTCTCTGTTAATCTTATTCCACTTCTATTCTCTCTTTCTTTCTTTCTTTTTTTTCATTATTACTATTACTATTATTGCTATTGGGGGATCAAGAAAGAAGGCGTGGGGGTTAAAGGATAGCAATAGAAAAAAAAAAGCCATCCCACACACACGCACCGCTCTTCTTCGTTGTGTGTGTGTGTGTGTGTGTGGTGCATAGCCACAACTGTGAGAGAAGGGAGAGAAATAAGAAAATATACAAAAGAAAGAAAGAAAGAAAGAAAGAAGAACGATAGAGAGAAATAAGAAGAAATTGTGAGAAATAGAAGAGTAGAAAAGCGAAAGAAGAAGAGGAACACACAAGATTGTGAAAGATCGTATCATTTCAGAAGAATCATATATATATATATATAGAGAGAGAGAGAGAGAGAGAGAGATAAAGAGAGTAAGAAGAGAGAGAGGATTGCGGATAACCACCACAGTTAACAAGAAGGAAAGAAGAAAAGAGAAAAAAATAAATAGAGAAAGAAAAAAAAAAAAGAGAAAGAGTGGTATAGAATCCGATAAACAATCTCAGTTATATCAACCTCCAAAGGAGGAAAGAAAACAAAAAAAAAGAGAGAGAGAGGAATAGAGAGAGAAGGAAAATAAGGCAAAGAAAGAATACAAATCGTATATATATATTCCTATACATACAATACATACATCTACACTTCCACACAGTAGGCCGAAATAATAAAAAGAAAAAGGATAGTTATTATTATTATTATTATTATTATTATTATTATTTGAAAATGATTCGTGCCTCACTCATTCTCTACGGCGGAGGCCTTCTGCGAAATGGTGGTAGAACCAAAAAAGGAAGATCTGCACTGACATCGGTGGCTAGAGCAGCAGCAGCAGCAACAACAACAACAACAACTGGTAAATCGAGAAAAACAAAGAGAAATGCCGCAGCAAGAAAGAAAGAAGAAGAACATGAAGAAGGAGAAGAAGACTCAGATATGCTTCATTTCACCAGTTCACCTCCTCTTTATGCCAATGAACCTCACCAAAACAATAGTAAGAGTACTGCCACCACCTTTGCCACTCCGGAGTCTTTCTTTGCATATAAGAGTAGACGAAGTGAAGAAGAGGTGCTTAAGTTGGCACAACGTATGCAAAGCCGAGATTTAACAGGTGAAGTTCCCGTAGCCTCATTTGCATATGAAGTTCTGAGAGCTCATCCTTCTGTGCGGCAAATGGGACTGCGTGAGCGTATGGCATTTCTCTGTGATCGATGGGAGCGACTCAGTAAACAACAGCGACAGACATATTTGGATGATCCTCTCAAAGGTCTCTTGTAGAGAGAGAGAGAGAGAGAGAGAGAGAGAGAGGGATAATGCCGTACCTTATATATATATATATATATATATATGGTGTACGTACATGAGTAAGATACCTGTTTGTATCTGTATATCTCTTTTACACACATTCTCTTTTTCTCTCTTCATATGATGAAGTCACATTGGCAATACTTGATTGTACGCCATTATTTATAGATCTCGTTATTATTATTATTACTATTATTACTATTATTATTCTTGGGTCATTTTTCCCCCATTTTTCTTTTTTATTTATTTATTTATTTGTTTATTTTTGATGTTCTTCTTCTTCTTCTTCTTCTTGTTATGATTCGATGTGGTGGCAGTTGCTTGATGTCTGCCACTAGAATCTTTGCGTAGTTGCAGTTGGTGCGAGTTGCAGCGCTGTGATTTCTGCTGCTCTCTTTTTCTATTAAATACAACATACCGGTATGGGCAGTGGGGTGGGGTGTATGTACTTCATTCTCATAATTTATTTTTGTTTTTTTTTTATTTTTAGAAATTTCTCTTCTTGAGTGATCCATTCTCTTTTTCTTTTTCTTTCTTTTATTTATTCTTCCATTATTTCATAGTTCTTTGGGCCAGTGATGCGCCGTCTCGTTCTTAGCTGTAGTGGTAGTACTACGCCTAAGGCTGCTGCTGCTGCTGTAGTAGTGATTGCACAAGTTAACAATAGGGCCTTCATCACAACAACAGTAACAAGAAAAGAAGAAGAAGAAGGAAGAAGAAAAAGAAGAAAAGAAGATGATATTCTTCTACGTGTAGTGCCCAACACGAATAGTAACAACTATTCGCATTACCGAAAGCGGAGAGTTGATGTGATGCCGATGAGGAGGATGATGATTGGTGTTAATTCCATGATCCCCACTGTTCTCCACTTGGCCCGCCGCTGTGTGCATGAGCAGCCGTTCCTCGAGGTCCCACGCGATGGGGCCGGCGGCGAGGCCCGAAAAGACGCCCACGACGCACTCGTTCAACTCAACGTGATGGTCCGGCGGGGAATTGAGCCGGACGCACTCATGTACACTTCTCTCATCGCAACAATGGCCCGCGCGGGTTTGGAGTGGCAGGCGTATAAACTCTTTTCCCGCATGTTGGAACATCATGTGCGGCCGCTGCCAGAGACGTACGTGGCCCTACACGATGCGACGTCCCCCACACGCCGGCGACTGCGGCAGGAATTAAAGCAGAAGATGGAAGAGGCACTGGAGACATTTCCAGATGAGATTGCAGAGGCGGAGTTGAGTCGACAACGCGAACAGGATCGTTTGTGTGTACAGAGATTTGAGGAATATATGAAGGGAGTACTGCCACCACCATCATCATTATCATCGCAGACAGAACGGAAGATCAGTAGTAGCAATAGTAATGATAATCCTAACAGCAATAGTACTACTAGTGATGGGAGTAGTATAGATATGCAGAGTGGTGATGCTCATACTGATTCTTCTTCTTCTTCGTCGTCTTCTTCCAGTGATGCGTTATCATCATCATCATCAACAACAACAGCGGGATCAACAGAAGAAATAGAAGGAGAAAAGGGTGTGAAGCCTATAGCTACTATGCACATTCGTAATCCCACAGATGCATGGAGTATTACACAGATGATGGAAGAACGACGAGAACGTGATGGCCAACGTGCACGTGGGGATTCTGCCATATCGCTAAAAGCACAACTTGAACGTTTACATGAAGAAGAACTTCGTATTTATCTTGCAGCCCAACGACAATTGCGGCATGGTAATAAAACTGAATTAATACAACGGGTGCTTGACACTGTGAGTGAGAAAAGCATACGTGATATGCTGGCACGTCGAAAGCATTACTTCCGCTCTGTTGCACAGATTCTAGAGAATGACCTTAATGCTATTCGCCATGGTAATAATAATAATAATAATAATAATAATAATAATAATAATAATGCTAATGGTAGTAGTATTAGTGATGATGCTAACAGAAATCACAGTATGACTGGAATGTATTCTTCTACAGTTGAATCTGCAGCTACAGCAGTTGATCGCACATTAACAGCTGCAGAGAAGGATTCTGTTGCACCTCAAGTCCTGTACACTCCATGGGGTATTCTGCGCAAACCAATGAAACTCCCACCAGATGCCTTTACTGCAGAAAGTAAAGAAGAAGGGAAATACAGAGAAGAACGACTTGATCGTATTCCTCTTTCTGTAGATGAATTATTGTTAGTACGCCGTAAGGCAGAGACGGGTGATCTTGACGAATTGCCGGGTTCTCTGCTGCGGCGTTACGCTGCGGAGTTCCATCTCACATGGAAACGCAAACATCCACTCTCACTATTAGAAGCTGTACAGTGGCACTCTACAACGTTCCTACAACTACAAGAAGATAATAAAGATGAAAAACAAAAACAACAACAATTAAAAGAACGACCGGTACGTCCAACACCCGCTTTGCGTCGACAGCAGGAGAATGAAGGTGTACGCCGGACACTGGATAACTATGAGGCTTTTCGCATTATTGCCCAGCGAACAAACAATCTGCAGGTGGTGGACCATAAGGAGATTAACATGCAGGTGAAGAAGTTCCACCGTGAGACCCAACGTAAAGAACGCCGCGCGGAGGAAACATTACGGCGTGAAAAGAATTTGTTGGATGCCGCCGCGTTGGCGTCTTCGGCAAAGTCCTTCACACCACCAGACCCAACACTACCAACATCATCACATGTACTTGGTATTTCAGAGGATAACGATAATAAGAAGGGACAAGTGGCTTTGCCTACGGCTTCAATGGAAACAAGTGAAGAAGGAGAAGTTGGAGATGGAGGAGAAGAAGAAAAAGAACAGCAAAACGATAAGAAAGAAGAAGAAGAAGTAAGTAGTGAATTACCCCCATGGGCCATTTTCTCTGGTGAAGAGGAGTTTGATATCTCTACTGGACGTTTCGGGGATCCTAACATGGGACGCTATCAAGAATTAAGTGATGGACGGTTTAGGATTCTCCCATCACGTGAGGCTCAAGAGAAATGGACGGTTGAACGCCAACTGTTGCCCGGGCCTTTACAAGATAAACTGCAGCGGGCAGAATTACAACAACAAACACGGTATGAAGCTGTAGAAAAGGAATATGCACGTCGGCTGCAATTTAAAAAGTATCGGAAGTGGGATACATTTTTACGCAAAGCTCAAGAGAAACAAGGTAAAGGATATAAGAGAGATGATAATGATAATGATGAGGATGAGAGTGAAAATGTGCGGCCTTTACCACCCAAGCGACGTCTTTCACAACTACTACGGAAAGGCCATGATAGGGCACCCGTAGATGCAGCTTTAAAAGCCAAGTACAGTAAAAGCCTCTAGCGTTAGTTTATTACTATTATTACTACATTTATTACGAATAACAAGGAAAGAACGAAAAGAAGATGAAAAAAAAAACCCCTTTTATCTGAAATTGAAGGAATTAAAAAAGAATATATATATATATATACGTACATATGAGAGTTAAATACGTCAATACATTGACGAAAAGAAAAGAGAAAAAAAAAAAATAGATTCTACTCTCATGCTGTGCATCCTCCATCTCCCTCTCTCTATATATATGTGTTTGAGTGTTTTGATACATCCACCTTTGCTGCTTTTTTTTTTCTTTTTTTTTCTTTCTTTCGTACATTTACTACTACTATTATTAGTTTAGGTTACTTGGAGATAATAATAACAATAATGATTGATTTTAGTAATATTAGTAGTATGGTTTTTCTGCAGAGAAACCCCCATATAAGCGCCGCTTTATTATGCCAATATATATAATTTAAGCGTACTCTCTTGGGGAAGAAATAAACATTTACGTAACCATGAGTTAATATGGGTTATATTTTGTATATTTTTTATTTATTTTAATTATTTATTCCTTTTGATTTTCTGTATTTGCAGGCCTTTTTCTTGTTTGATATATCTTTTTGGACTTTTCTCTGTTCGTTTTTCTTCTTTTTCTTCTTGAGCAAATAGTATTAAGGGGAGATTATAAGCGAAAAGGAACAAAGAAAAAAGAAAAAAAAAAATAAGAAATTGAGAAGCAATAAAAGAAAAAAAAAAAGAAGGATCCCGTTTTTAAACAGTTAACGGATCATCCTACCAACTCGTGGATAAAAGTATAGAGTTTCCTTCATAGTGTACCCAAACCAAAAATAAAGTGAAAAAGAAAATACAGAAAGAAAAACAACAACAACAACAAAAAAAAAAAAAAAAACAAAAAAAAAAAAAAAAAAAAAAAAAAAAAAAAAAAAAAACAAATAAATACACAGTTTCCCTCTCTTTTCCCCTCTTCGACAAGAAGAAGAAGAAGAAGAAGAAGAAGAAGAAAAGTGGGTTGTACCGGTAGAATCACAGGATCTATTACCGATAAGATTTGTTTCTCCTACACATCACAATACATTAGCAAACCTGAAGAGAGAGAGACAGACAGAGAGAGTAGTATATAAAATACCTTCCCTGGGTTATATATCTCTCTGTTACCAAATGAAGTATCCCTCACGTTTTCTTCTTGTTTCTTTTTTCCTCGTACCATTTCTCTTGGTCTTCGCTGTCTCATCCCCCACCAGCGCTATTCCCATAACCACATCATCATTATCTTCACCGGCTGCGGATACTACGACTGGTGCCGGTGATGTCCTTTCCCGCAGTGCGGTGATCGTCACCCTCGCCGGTGTGTGGTCCCCCGCCGCCGTGCGGAATGCCTCCTTCGCCGCCGCCGTCGAGCGGGACGTGGCGGTGGCGCTCGGGCCCCAACGGGCCGCGGCGTGGCAGGCGGTTCCACCCGACGCGAACGGCGGGCCGGCGACGGTGGAGTTGGAGGCGTGGGCCGACGGCGGCGCACTGGTGGATCGTTTACTGCTGGCGGCGGACTGGGCATACACACAGGAGTATTATGCGGAGATGGAGGAGGGAGGGGATCCCGCGGCGTCAGCGGCACAATCGGCGGCGGATGGAGCTTCAGAGCACATGGCCTCAGAGTCAATGCCATCCATTCTTTCAGGATCAAGTTCTCCATCAAATTCCGCATCAGAATCACAATCAGAATCAGAATCAGGATTAGGAAATGTGCCAAGGTCAGGTCCAACATCGTTTAGCGTATTAAAACAAAAGATGAGAAAAATCTCAGAGGCAGAGTTAGAGGCTGCCCAGACATTTATACAATTAACAAGAATGATGGCTGTAGATGAATCTTTTGTGACAGCGACTCGTAGAAGTGAAGATATTTCACTTCACTTCAGTGGGACTGGATGGGGCAATCCGGATGAATTACCAGATGCGGAACTGAGTGAAGCCATCTTGTCTGCTGTTCAATCTGTGGTGGATCCCACTAATACTGGGGGCAATCTGCGGTGTAGTATAGAGGACCCTATCAATCGTACAAATGGAGTGGTGTTTAACTTATTGGTAACATCCTCTGGTGTTCAAAACATTACAAAATTACTCACATCTCCCAGTTTGTATGATTCTTTACTAACTTACTACTTCAATGTCACTGAACTGAGTGATGCCGCACTTGTAGGGGTTTACAGAACTCCAGTGGAATCGGAAGAACAAGAGTATCGTACGCAGGTTCGTACACTATTTAGTGGATCATGGAATTTGGTTTTACAAACTGCAAAACCACAAGTTATCGCAGCTTTAAGATCGTCTTTTGCTGAAGCCCTGGAATTAAATATATCTCGTATTGTTTTGGCTGATGTCAGCGGGGATGTATATCCATTCAATATGCAGGTAATTTATTATGTGGTACACCAGGAAGATTTTCTTGTCAATAATATTACTTCTGCCATAGCAAATGCAAATTTCTCTGAATTATTTGATAATATTTATGTAACCTATGGTGGAGACACAACTGTTACCCCTGCTGTTATGGAATCTACTATTGTGAACTCACGAGAAGCAAGAGACGAAAGTGAATCTGATACTTCACTCACCTCTACACATAATTTACTACTCTCAGGAGAAGAATGGCCAGATGTGATTCGTCTTGGTGATGTGAGTACGTTAAATACAGCCATTGCAAAGGATTTAACAGAGTTACTACCATACAAACCCAACAGTGTCTCTGTAGAAGGTTTACCTCAACCTAAAGGGGAAGATGGACTTCGTGTTGTGGTCTCTGTTAAACAACAAGGTGTGGCGCAGATTATTCCCTTCGCCGTAAACTCTTACTTTGTTCAAGCCAGTTCTCTCCCTTTGACACAAACCTTTTACCGCAAATATGTGGATGCTGTTAATACAGAAATGATAAATGTCACCTGTGCTACAGTAGAAAATAAAGGATTTAGAAGTATATGCACTAGTCGGTGTATAGGTGTTTCTGTCATGGGTGGTTGTTTACTCTTATTCTGTATTATTGGTTTTATTATCTATTGTGTATGGAGATCACTTGCACGGTATGTGGACCCAGCGAAATATGATGATGAACTTGTACGTATTCCTCCCCATCTCAGTCCCTTTGCTGGTGGTGTAGTGACGAGTCCAAATTATAATCCCATTCGAACTTTCTATGGCGGTGGACAAAATGTGAATTATCGTGTTGGGGATCCGGGCCCAATGTATCCACCAGGCTCCACCGGCACAGTGCCGTTTGGTGCACGAAATCCATTTTCAACACCGGCCGCACCCGAGTCTCGTTTAGTGGCACTTTCGGGTTCACAGTCAAATGCGTCTGTGCTGCGGCAGGGCGCTGTGGTGATTCCCAGCACGACTGGCGATAGAAGTCTTGATATGGTGATGGTCCCACGTGAGGAGTACGAACGCCAACAGAATGTGTGAGTTGAGATAAATATCATTGCGCAGTCCATGATAATAAAAGAGAAGAAGAGAGAAGAGAAAATAGAAAATAGAAGGATGAGATGTTAAGATGAGATATATAATGAAATGATGGCATCTATATCTGTGTGTATATGTGTATGTGTGAGTATAAGTGGGCTCAGCAATGTGATGTTCACAAAATACGGAGGGGATTCCGATACATTTTGTTCTCTTTACACAATTGTTTGATAAATATAAATATTCATCTGAGTTTTTGAGGCAGAAAAGAAAAAAAGAAAGAAAAGTATGCCTTGAATTCCTTTTCTTTCTGTTGATAGAGATCAAGATAAGAAGAAAAAAAAAATGAAAAGAGGCATGAAAAGCAAAGAATAGGCAAAAAAAAAAGAATGACACTAACAAAAAGTAATAATAAAAAGAATAAGCAAAAAAAAAAAAAACAAACAAATACAATGTGAACTAAATAATAAAGCAAACTGACATAAATGAGAACAAGGTCACAGAAGAAAAGAAAGAAAAAGAAAAGAAAATGAATGTGTGGAACCGGATTTCCTCAGAGAAGCTTTAGAGACATGGGGGAAAATGTAGAGAAAGTACGTGAATCGATTGTGGGATGGGAAAAAAAAAAAAAAAAAACAATCCCAAAATGTAAAAAAATAAAAATAAAAACAAAAAAAAAATAATAAAGCTTCTGCAAACGAAAAAGTCTGTGTAAATGAATCACCAAGGGGGAAAAAAAAGCAGAAGTTTTTTTTTTTATTTCTTTTTTTCCATTCTGGCGTGGTTACTCCGTCCATTACTCATATTCATCATCTGTGAAGTTTCTCTCTTTGTGTACTTGTTTTCTTTTTTTGTTTTCCTTTTTCTCATTGATTATATTATATATATTTGTATATATTATGATATTTCTTTATCACAAGATGATTTTGTTTTTTCTATTCCAGTCGTTTTTTCTCTCTCTCTGTTACTCATCCAATTGTAGATTGTCTTTTGTTTTTCATTATA